ACAAGAAATAAGGAATATATAGATAAAGGTCTGAAACTTCTGGAAGAAAACAAGCAAATTGTTATTCGCCCAGCAGACAAGGGAGGAGGAGTAGTCTTGCTGGACAAAACATATTACGAAGAAGAAATGTCCAATATCCTAGGAGACCAGGAGACATATACAAAATTAAATAAAAATCCAACCCTAACAATTAAGAGGCAACTAAAACAACTGCTGAAAGAGGGACGAAAAAATAAGATTTTAACTAAAAAGGAATATAAGTACTTATTACCCACAGTGGGAAAAGTCCCGGTGATTTATTTTTTACCAAAGATCCATAAAAATCCTATCAAACCACCAGGAAGACCAATAATTAGTGGTATAAATTCACTAACATCGCGTTTAGGCGAATATATTGACTGGTTCTTACAACAGCTTGTTAAACGCACCAAAGCCTATTTAAGAGACAGTGGGGATACGATTAATATACTGGCAACTATCGAATATGAAAAAGACATGATTCTAGGAACTATAGATGTAGTATCCCGGTATACTAATATACCACACAAGAATGGCCTAGAAGCTGTAAAATGGGGTTTAACAACACTTTCTGGGTTGGGAGACTGCCAAATCACTTTTCTTATTAAATGTATAGATTTTTCGTTGAAAAACAATTATTTTTGGTATGGAGGGGACTACTACACTCAAATAAAAGGTGTTGCAATGGGGGCTAAGTTTGCCCCGAGCCTTGCAAATCTATGTATGGCTAAATGGGAGGAAGGTGCAATATACGAACCTAAATGGATAGAATTGAAATTATGGAAAAGGTTTATAGACGATGTGGTCATAGTATGGAAGGGAGATGCCACCTCCCTAGAAAAGTTCCTTGTATATATTAATTCCAATAGTGAAGGAATTAGTTTTACTCATAATTTTAATAAGGAGAAAATAGACTTTTTAGATTTAACGCTACAAACATCAGGAGAGAAGTTGATTACCACAACCTATTTTAAGACTACTGACCGAAATGGGTATATACCTGTGGGGAACTGCCATCATCCGTCATGGATAAGAGGTATCCCTAAAGGGCAACTCGTGAGACTAAGAAGAAACTGCACACGAACCGAAGACTACGAAGAACAGGCTAATATGATCCAAAAAAGGTTTCTGGAGAAGGGATATGGCGAAAATAATCTAGAAAGAACAAAATCTAAAGTAAAAGAACTAGACAGAAATAAAATGCTACAGGCGAAAGTACGCAAACAAAAAGAACAAACTTTGCTATTTATCACAGACTTCTCAACGCACTATAAGGATTAAAGTAAAAGAACTAGACAGAAATAAAATGCTACAGGCGAAAGTACGCGAACAAAAAGAAGAACAAACTTTGCTATTTATCACAGACTTCTCAACGCAATATAAGGAGTTTGAACAAATTCTCCAGAGACATTGGCCTATTTTAATGAGAGATAAAATCCTAGGTCCAATAATCCAGAAAAAACCGAGGGTCATATATAGGAAAGCTCCCAACATTAAAAATCAGTTGGTGCAGAATGTAGTTGATCCCCCAAAAAAATTGTTCTCATTTTTTGAAGGAAAGGGGTTCTTTCCATGTAAAAAATGTATAGGATGCAATCTAACTGGCCAAAGAAGAAAAATAACAGAGTTCCAATCCAATTTTAACAAAAGAAGTTTTAAAATTAGGGAATTTATCTTGTGTAAGAGCACACATGTGACCTATATGTTAGAATGCCCCTGCGGTCTCCAGTATTCAATACATGTTCTGAATATTTTAAACTCCACAAATACCAGTCATTCAGTGTGTCTGCCACCTCCTTCTCCCTTTTTAACAAATCTTAACAATAAAATTAGTATGTATCGAATTGTGTTTATGGGTCCAAACAAGAAGGTAACCAAAGGTTGAACTTGTAATTTGGAAGAAATTGGGATGTGACACACCTGGTAGTATAGAAGAGGTGTGTATACGAATCAACAGTAACAGGGTGTAACCATTCGGGCTATATAAACTCTAGTGTCAGAGAGGAAACAGTACCCTTTTGAAAAAGTCCTTTGGACGAAACGTGTCAAGGGAATTGACTGTCTCCTCGCTGACACAAGAGAAAGTCTTCACAGGGCTGGGTGTCCCTTACACTCACATGCTGTTTTATCCATATGGAATTCTGTAAGTGCAATCATTTGTTTTAACCCAAATAAAAATTCTGGCTATTTGCACTTAGATTTGTTTGCCCTTTGTGGCTTCCCCCCTTTCTATCTCCTTTTGGATGGACTCTCCGAGGCGATCCTCACATCACACCTGGAGGGTGCACACTATCGGCAACGAGAGGGAGTGCAGGCTGCATGCAGGAGAGGAAAGAGAGGCTAAAAGAGAAGCTCCTTGTATCTATCGAGGGAAGAAAAAGTAATAGACATTTGGTCTTAATTTACCACCTTCTCCTTTTTTATATATTCTTTTTATATATTCGTAGCTCTGATCATAAGAACTTTTATCCCTACCTCAAAGTCCACACTGCACTAAAGTATTGTGTAACAATACAGACTGGCCTCAAGAAACTTTTTGTTTAAATTATTTGGACTCTAATAGAGTGGATAGTAAGCGGGTTTTATAATCTGACCGCTACCTCTGCTGAACTCTGCAGTTTACTCAGTATTTTCCTCTGATGATTAACCTCTCCATTGATATACCGTTTAATGTGATTTATATAATTGTCACATAATATCTACCGTTTAATGGGAGTTATACAATTGTCACACACTATCTTATATACACAATTTTAAATAATTTATATGTTTTTATGGTATATACACAATTGTCACTTAGACCACGTATGTGCCACTACTATCACGAAACAGAGAGTGAATAATAACAGACGAGCCAAGGCTACACACATTTATTCATCATTTATTTAATTATTTAACTATTTATAATTTTTATAAATTAATATTTTATTCGTCTAAAATCACCTTTGACGATTTGAATATCACTAGGAATTGTTGAAATAACCAAGCGCAACATATTAGCTCACATCCGATCACATTGATACACATTGTTGCAGCTGGTATCCTATTGATTGATTGATTTATTTATCTATATTTATAATCTCCTAGCACAATCAATCTGAACAAACAGATTCTCTCATCAGTTTGTTCAATCAAGGTTTGAAAATGAAAAGTGGATGCTGATTGGTTGCCATGGGCAAGTGCTCCAGATTCTGTCTGCTCTAGTTTTGATACATTTCCCTCATTGTGTCAGCAGCAGTCAGGGTCTTTTTTATACATCTGCTCCTGACAGCAGCATTGTTGTTTGCAGCCTCTACCTGCAGCATATCAGTCATGGTAAATCTACCAGTCATTTGAGTACTACATGTATAAGGATACATTTAATCTGCACCACACAGCTTAGTGGGAGCAGCACCTCAATTATACCAGTTGGCAGCATTCTTTTAGAATACATTGGCCAGGCCTGACAGAAATTACAGGCAGCACCTAAATATGATCCCAGATTACTGTATATTGGGTCAGGAGTGGATGTAGACACCCTTAGAACCAAGAACTTTTGGGTGTTTGGGCTGGACCACTGTCTGAATGTTGCCCAATATGCAATTGAGCTTCATATCAATTACAATCATATATGTGCACAACCCATGGATTGACCTCTAAGTGGGGTGCAACTTCCAACTTTGGAGCTCACAGTTTATAATATTTTACATGTATTCTACTCTGAACAACAGCCAGTGAACTTGTAAAGAAGGCATTTGGACAAATAAACATATTAGTCCCCAGACAAAGTACCAATTCATGCCCTAAACGGTCTAAAGTTGTTAGTCGTGCACACCATTTCAGTTTTGGAACCATTGCTTTTTAACCTGTTTAAAAATTATATAGATTTTGGAGTCAAAAGTGCTATTTCTGTATTTGCAGATGACAAGAAAATAAGTAGCAAAATGCAGTCCTTGCAAGATGTTTCTAACTTACAAGATGAGCTGAATGCATTGTCAGATTGGACAACTACATGAAAAATGAGGATAAAAACACTAATGCATCCCACAGTCTCGAGGGAGAAAATTTGAGTGAATCAATGATGATCACAGACTTATTGCATGCAATGCCAGTCTTCAGCTTCTAGAATAAGCAAGGTACTTCACAAGTCCGTTTTAGGAAGAATCTCACAAAAATGATGCTGTAGAACTGGACAGAATGCAGAGAAGGACAACTACATTTATTAAGGGTCATGGAGGACCTCAGTTATAAGGAAAGATTAGTTCAATTAAACTCATTCAGTTTGGAGAAGTGGTGATTAAGGGGAATATGATCACATTACGTAAACTCAGGGGAATGCCGTGTACTTTAAAATCATTGCAAATGGGGATATTGTTTGCAGCTGGAGTAAAAAGGTTTAACTTCAATTTACAGAAAAAGTTTTTTACAGTAAGAGCTGTAAAAATGTGGACTCATTTTCCACAGATGCTTGTTCTGGCCAGCTCAGTAGATTTAAAAATAAAAAAAAAATGGTCTGGATGTGGTTCTAAGTGCAAAGACATAAATGACTATTCATATTAATAAGGACAGTGTAGGGATAATCTAGGGAAAATCCAAACACGTTTGAGTATTAGGAAGGATTTTTTTCCCTTTTAGAGGAAATTGAACCATACTTCACATGATTTTTTGTCATATATAT